GCCTCGACCGCCGCCGCCGCCGTTATCGCCGCCGTCGCCCTCCCCGACGGCGCCCTTCGCGCCGACATCCAAACTCCACGCTCCGCATGCGTGATGGGTGTTCCTGACTCCTCTGGAGTACAGGAACACGACGCATCATGCGTCTTTTACTTCGGGTGAGTGTCTAATATTCTCTTGAATTGTTTCTCCCCCTCCACCTACCCTGCCCTGTATCACCCTCTCGCCGGCCCCGGAGAGCACGCGAACCCGTGCGTCTCAACGGGAGCATGTCCTCACTACCCATACTGAACCACTTCCACCACCTCCAGCTGTCTGGACCGCCGCCGTAGCCGCCATCGCCGCCGTCGCCCTCCCCGACGCCGACCTTCGCGCCGACATCCAAATCGATCGCGCCGCCTCAATAGCGGGTGTTCCTGGGTCCCATGGACGGTAGGAACGCGACGCAGCAAGCGCCTCCAAGTGCGCTTGCGTCGTTATTTTCTTATGATTTGTTTTCTCTTTTTTCGTCCCCCACCATACCCGAATGCTGCTCGCGCACCCGCACCGCCGTTCGTATAGCATGTGTGGGACTCCTAGGTACTAGTATCTATTGTAGAATATATTGTATACTTGTATCTACAACAGTACTGTACCACAACTACAAAACAAATTTGTGGTATACCTTAAGTCTCGAGTCAGGCCCGACTCCGTATATGGTGAACTCGCGCGCAAGACTTACAATTACCCTTTAGTCTAACTGCCGAGTGAGCTCACGCCCGTGAGAAATAGAGGCGGAATCAGCCGGTGACCTTTCGGAGGCTCGTGTTCGATTCCTGTCAGTGCTGTCGAGACCATGAGTCTTTAATATCACCCTCGTTTGTTAACTAAATAAATATTTGTAATAACCCAGGTAAGTCCCTTCATTAGGATCTGAATTAACTACAGCCTTCAAGACTTCAAAGCAAGTCAATAATTTCGACTTTTTGCAACTTTGATTGTCTTTATTTGTTCTTGTTTGTACCTATTTGTCCAAAGTTCGAATTTTGCACAGCCCATGAGGTTTTTACTTCTTGACTCTTACCACAATCACCCCAAGTCAGACACATTTTTCCCAAGTGCTTTTCTGGTGCAGGATCTTATTTGTTTATGTCTATAGGCTAGAATTTGGAGTTCTGTGGCTACAAGCTGGCTCTTCCTTGACCAAATCATCTTATCCAATAAAATGACTAAGTATGTGCTTTCAATATTTGACTTTGCTCTGGTTCATTAACATATATTATAGAGTGTTGTGCTCTATTTGCAAAAAGTCTGTGAACAATGCTGAGGATCATAATGAGCATTGCCATGTGCTAGAAAATCAACTTAAATTTAAAGGTGCGAGTGAGTTAGCCTGATAATGAGCAGTATTTGATTCGAAGTATAGGTCATACCTTGGTGATTCTGAGAGGTTCAGTCAATGGATCTCTCCAGTGCCCAGTGCCCGGATGTCCCTTTGTTGAGGCATGGTTGCCACGTATGAAGGGTCATTTGAAGCGTAACCATCCTCAATACAACCCTCCTATTGCTGATATCGTGCCACATTCTCCTGCAGTTGACAAGGGGGATGACAATATGGAAATTGATGCATGTGAGCCCCTTGCCCTTTCCAGACAGCCTGTCGCACTTGCGGAAAGCTCCGCATTGGCTCCTCAGGATGCGCAACCTATGGATTTCGTAGATCCAGTCCCTCTGCCCCTGGATACACCTGCTGTGGCTGTGGAACGTATAGTGCTGTCCCGTTCGCAACCACCTATCCCTGCTTCAGAGAACCGATTACTGTCTACACCTCTGCTTGAACGACTTGGCTTGCGCATACATGCATACCTCAAGATCCTGATCTGTATAGGCTGCGAGGTCTGTTGGTTACCATCAGCTGCATTGACTCATGTTCGCAGTCACGGTGTTCAAGTGTGCAAGAATGATGCCGCTGCTCTGGATCATGCATTTCTTGAATATGGAGTGCGCAGGGATTACAATGTTCTTCCGCCTGCCCCTGGAGGTGCTCCAATTGCTGGGGTGAAGATACATGAAGATGGGCACTGTTGTACTCGCTGTCCAGCAGCATTTCGGTCACGCCGATCAGCAATAGATCACTTCAACAGGGAGAAGCACTTGGACAAGATATCTACAAATGACAAGTATTATATGGGTCCTGTGCAAACCTTGTTCAGTCCCATTCCACAGAGGTACTTTCAAGTGGACTTGTCCTTGGTCAACTATCCCACCGAGTCAGCTTTTGACATCTTCATGCGGGAGGAGTATCCAACAGTTCACCGTCCCCTCATTGCGCCAGTTGCCAATGAGCGTGAAGTGCCACTACTGCTCAAGATGACTCAGTGGGATATGCATGTGGCCAAGTGGACTCAAGACACAGTGATGTGTCACAGCCTCTGTGAGCTGGTGAAGCTTCCAACAGGATTGCACAAGTCAGGTGTGGGGTTCTTGAATGAAGTCGTGTTTGGATACATGAAAGCTATCCGTGATCTGGCAAGGAAGTCACCTCTTGGAGTTCGCTGTCTGCTAATGGAGTGTCCAAGGTAAGCAATACTTTGTGGCTGAGAACTGTTTCTGATATTCCCTCAGGATTTCATCCACCACAACACCTTGGAAATATCATGACTCTGATACTACCTTGCGCAATTACTCAATTCCACTGCGCTGCTTGGCCCAGGCAGTGTTATTATCTTTGCAGGGACACAAATCAGGATATACCTTCCCACTGACTGAGGAAGACATAGAACGTGCCCATCGCTTGCAGGACTGCCTTGATACTGCGGCTGCTGATAGTATTGCAGTGTTTCATGAATTTGTATATCCCTTCCTCTCCCGTAGCATTGACTCCAGGGGTGATGACAAGTGGAGCTCTGTGATAGAGTGTTTCCTGGCTTTATACTCCCTGACGCAAGATGGTACACACAAGAGGGCCACTGATATGACTCAGCCTCTTGCGATGCTGGAGTATCACTGCCGTGGAGCAACACTCTATGAGGCACATAGGCATCAGGCAGAGTTTGGTAATGACTTGTACCAGTGAGTTAATTATCATGCTGTGTTATGTGATTCTGGACTCACTTGTTGTAGATCGGTGACTCACTATTGCCTGGACAATCTTCATCCAGGAACATTAACTCCATTTACGACTCTTGTCGACTACCAACGGTTCATCTCATCACTTGCTTTCTCTGAGACTAATGCGCCTAGTATTACAATCTCCGATGATGCCACCAAGTTTGCTTATAAAGGGAAACTTCTACAGCTTGGGGATCTCACTCATGGTGTCCGACGCCTCTTTGAAGATACACACAAGATGATGTCTGTGCTCTTCCGTGGCCATGATATTCCTGTCAATATCCCTGATCATGTTCCTGATGACATGACAAACAACAATCGTGACTATAGCTGGCTAAACAATGGAGTCTTCACAGAGCCTGGGATACTTTGGAAGATCCTTACAGAGGACAAGGCCCTCCGTCTCTGTCTTGTTGATCCTTCTGGTGTTCTGATGTGGAGTCCAGGAGCAATGATGGAGGTCATGGAGACCTGTGGTCAGATTAACAAGTCTTTGGCTGTCCTCTGCCATGTTCTTGCTGGCCAGCCTGCTCGTGCAACAGAATTTGTGGATTTGAAAATCCGTAACTCAACTTCACCTCGTGGACTGTTTAGGGACTTCCAGGATTTGATTTTGGTGCGACGTAGAGTCAAGACAGAGTCACAAACTGGGAAAGAGTCTTTCATTCCAAACTATCTTCCACCAGAGCTCCAAAAACTTGTGGAGCAGTATCTGTTGATCATCCGGCCAGTAGAAGAGCACTTTGCTCAAAAACTATGGGATGACAAGGTGAATGCACTCTATCGTGAGTTTATGTGGGTTCAGATGGGTAGACAGATGACAAGTGAGAACTTCTCATCTACTCTGGAGCACTACTCGACAAAATACTTTGACTGTCCTCTGGGGATTCTTGCCTATCGCCAACTTGTTGTTGCTATTGCTCGGACGTATCTTGGGTCAGAGTATGAGCTTGACAGAGAGGATGAAGACTCTCTGGCAGCTCAAACAGGTCACTCAGTCGAGATGCGCCAACTACATTATGCTCCAGAAGTCTCTCGCTTGCGGTCTCTGACTAGTGACACTCTGCTGCGGTACAAGCATGCTTCTGAGGCTTGGTGGAAGCTCATGCAGTTCTATCCTGGAGCTGCCCCATTGCTTCCCATCACAATCCGTCGAAGAACCCGAGTCCACGCTGGTCAGTCTGATACACCTGGCCCTGGAGCATCTGCTACTTCTCCAAGTGTTCCTCCACACCATGTTTCTGGTGGACCTGATATTCTAGCAGCAATTCAGCAACTACAGGCTGGATTTACAGCAAGTGTGGCACAAATGCAGCAGAGTTTCCAAGCTGAGATATCTGGCCTGAAGCGAGATATGGATCAGCACATCACCCTTGCTGTTGGCAGAGGTATTGCTGAGTATATGGCCCGACAAGGTAGTTCTGCTGCTGCTGCTGTGCATCCAGAGCCTATGGCGATGGAGCCGGAGTCTATGATGGTGGAGCCAGAGCCAGAGCCCATGACAGTGGACTCTGCTCAACCTGTGCGACAGAGACTGGACATTGAAGACCTGTATGCAAGTCCTTCACCTCACTCCCCATTGATTTCATTACCCTTTCCATTTCCAACACATTCTACTCCCACTGGTAGTCCTGTATCAATGGGTCTAGGTCTTGAGACTCAGTCATCCTTTGGGTTAGGGTTAGGGTTAGGGTTAGGGAGGCACTCGACGACGAGCGCAGCGAGTCGGAGAGTGACTAGAGTTAGCGAAACTAGCAGACAACGGGCTAGTTCTCTGGGGAACTAAGCCTCTACCCGTTTCGCATTTTATGCTCTTCAGGTCTGCGTAGTATTTTGAAATTTGACGGGCCGCTAAGTCAGTGTTCACGACTAAGCGGAAGTACTTCCCGTAGCTCCGAGCCGATGCCGTCGGCTGCCGAGCAGCCGAAGAACAATGGCCCTACCTTTCTGGGACATTTCAAATTACGGAGAAACTTTACCTCTGTAATTCTTTGAAAGGGATTGGTTGTTCTAAATAAAACCTTGTACGCGTCAGCGATACTGTGCGAACGGCATACCGGCACGGTTAAGTTCCGGGTTCATGTGATATCGGCTTGCCGTGCCGACTCCGAGATTTCCCCTTGCCGGGAACCACATGATGATGCCACCAAGGCATTCTTTGATTGATGATGTCACCCGCCCCGCGAACCACGGAGTCCGCAATAACCGATCAGAAGGTTACCAACCTCCCAATTAGGAGGGCCACGGCCCC